ATATTTCAGTAGTTTAGAAAGAAAACTAGATAATGTGAAAGATAGAAAAGATTGGTGGAAGATAGCTAAGGAGATTCGAAATGATACAAATTATCAAATACTTTTTCTACCAGCATAATCTATTTAAAAGGGAGACACTACACAAGCTGAGAACTATTGAGGAATCTCTTTTATGAACTGCTTGCCAAAAATTATAATAATTACGGAGTAACAAAAAGATCAACAAATATCATGCCGTTTTTATTAAGTACTATTCGAAGAATGATGATATATTTACCCTCACTTCGATGGTACATATTAACTGGCATGAAAACAAGAAAACATATGCGTTCTTTGTAGATTTTAAAGCGATATTCGACAATGTGTGCAGAAAATCTACGGTATATAAACTAAGTTTTCTTGTTGTGTCAACGAAACGATTTATAGAAAGAGTAAAAACAATACAAACTTCATGGTATGGACAGGACATGATCTCTCTGATAAATTTTCGACGTCAGCAGGAGTAAAACAGAACGTACCATGTTTACTGTCCCCATTGCTATTTGCCTTATAGACGACTTACATGAATTCATCGGCGGCGGTAACGAGATTGATGACCTAAATATAAGAATATTACTTTATGCAGATGATAAATGGCTTTACAAAAAAGAACCAATTACTTCGGAATTTGCCTATCTTGGGATATTATTAACACCAAAGCTCGTTTCAAAATCCATATACTTACAAGAAATAACTCATCCAAAAATAGTATAAACCCTGCATGGAAATCCTTTTTGATAAGCCAGATTTATCAATTACGTCAAAATGGAAAGTGTTCTTAGCACTTTGCAGATCAATCCAACAATATGCCACAAATATGGGGATACACAAATTTTGAGGACGTAGACAAATTATAAATTTACTTCTGGAAGAAAATCTTAAAATTCCCAAATTTTACACCAGCATACATATTAAGATTAGAAACCGACATGGAACATAGGCAAATCCTCTCCATGAAAACCCATTTGGATTATATCATTCGAGCCATATTTAATTACAATAGCGGCGAATTACTTCACAAACTGGCGAAAATAGTTTTGCAAAAAGAGATTTACTGGGCAAAAGACATTCGTGCACTCTTAATGCAAAACAATATTGAACCATTTGATCTGAATAGTACCAAAAGCAAAGTTGTCGAAAAAAGGTTCACCTCTTAAAAAATTAGATTACAAATATTGGTGCGATGCCATAAATAGAGCCAATCAAACGACCCGAATGTACTCGAAGCTAGATCCATCAGTAGGTCAAACTTACATCAAGTCGCTGTTAATATCAGAGGAGCAAATTTGGATATTCAAAGCCAGAAATGATATTCTCATTTGTAAATTGGAAATATGTCGCAAGTTTTATTCAAATTTGTACACAATATAGAAATCAGCTATTATCTGAATTTAACTTTTGAATCCAAATTTGTATCTTTAAACAATGTCTTAAAAAGCGTAAGCTACAGACATACAGCCTGGATTAAAATACTACAGAAAGACGTCGAACAATATGATAAATGCCAACATGCGCAAAAACGATATGCACAGTTTAAAAATGTTAGAAAAACTGTTCATAACTTCGTCTTGTTGGTCTGTTTCCTGTACATAATGCATTGGGTACAAATCATATTTAAAGTATGACAATTGAAAGAAGTGGATAGTGTAACATTGTAAAATTAATTTTAAAAGTGATTCATAATGGAGTGTGTTATTATTACCGCAAAAAAAGAAGAAAAAATATTGTTAAAAAAAATTGAAATATAATAATGTGATTAAATACGGTTTCTATGATGCAGAATGCAAATCGCATATTAATTTGATGCGCTATGGAAGCTTTGGAAGAGCAAAATATTTAGGCATGTCAAAATAAATCGATTCGGAATGGTTTCAATTCTTTAATTCAAAATCGATCGTTTTTGTTTTAGCTTCTTCAGATTCCGAACTCTTTCATTTTGACGAATATTACCACATTGCGCACAATAAAATGAAATAGGTCAAAAATATATATCGAAGGCATATTTAAATCTGAACCAATATTCACCAAAATTACCAGATACACTTCTGAATTGAACCTGGCCTTATGTGCTAAAATCATTTGATTCGGACTGATATAACGCATTTCGCGCCCAAAAAAATTTAAATCGAACGACAATATATATGGGAGTTATATATAAATCTGATAATGATCCGATCATTACCAATATCAATAGGATTCGTTCTTGGACAACCAAATGATTTGTGGAAAATTTCATCTCAATCAGGCGGACACGCATAAATCGACTCAGAATGTGAATTGGCTTTATGAAGATCATCAGAAGGAACTATGGGTCTACATCATTTATTTCTGTATGCAAATGCACACACCACAGTTTGTCGTAGGGTATAACAATGAATACAGTGAAGTTAATTTTTAAAGTAAAATATTTATGGGATTGCATTAAATTAGACATTAAGCACGAAAGCATTAGTGCGTACTATTTATTTGAAATTTTGAAGACGTTCGTTTTACTGCTAATATAAATTGAACAGTGTTGGCTTGTTTGTTCGGAATACCATAGTATTTTGTTGTCGCAAAATGGTCAGGCTTAATCCCTTTATTGTTGTTTTTATAAAAACAACGTTTGTTTATTACCCCCTTACCAGGGGGTAAGGCAGGGAATACCTTGGTTTCGGAAAGAGCCACCAATCCTCTTCAGTTTCCTTGTTTTTTGTCTGGGATATTTTAAAAATAACTTCTATGACAAAAAAACATTTTTTACCCAAGTGGCGAGATCGTAAGCTCAATAGAAGAGGAACCAAAGAATTAAATACAACTAAAATTCTTTTACAACCGCACTTATAAACATTTATATCTTTCTCCACTTTTTACGCTTTCGTTCTATCTGAACGAAGTAGCATAACCATGAAAGTTGGTTTTGTCTGTTACAACAAAAACCCTTTCGTAGTGTTGGCTTCTTTGTTCGGGATACCAGTACTTTGTTGTTGCAAAATGGTCAGGCTTAATCCCTTTATTGTCGTTTTATAAAAACAACATTTGCTTATTAAACAAATGGTTAACATTACCATCGTTCTCCACTAATAAACAAACGTTGATTTTATAAAAACAACAATAAAGGGACTAAGCCTGAGCATTTTGCAACAACAAAAAAGCTAATATTAATTTTTAAAACAAAATATTTTTGGAATTGCAATAAATTAGACATTAAGCACGAAAGCATTCGTGCGTACTAATTATTTTAACCTTCGGTAACCTTACAGAAGGGGTTTACTGCTAATATAAACACCGAAAGAGACAGACGTTCAGCAATCTTCCAGCAGCTGTAGTCATACAGTCACATATTACTTTACAGACTCTGAACAATTCACATTTTTCAGAATAATTGTTAAGATTTCACAATTTTTGCCGTAAAATTGCTTGTTTTTTTTTGCATTGTTCTAATTTTGGATAATGTGATCTAAAATGTAATGCTGAAAAATTCAAACTTTTGTAAATAAGACCTAAATTACAACAAAAATAACGGCCATTAAAATTCTCAGGTGTCGCTCAACTCTTTACACAAATTACATTTTTATTTATTTTGTCATAAATTCCTCGAATATAGGTACTTTACTATTTGTTAAGCTCCGTAATACTTTTCTATAGTTTTTCCAAGAACTTTTGTAAATTATTGGATGGGTAAAAATAGGATGTTTTTAAAACAGGGTCTCAATTAAGTAAGACGAAATTTATTAAAAGTGATTGAGAAATAAAAGTATAAACCATGTAGGATTCAGTACAAACTCTTTATACCGTGAGAAATACGAAATATAATACATCGACATCTGTCAGCCCTTACTGTACACTCTCTTATTTTTTTTTCTTTGTTATTTTTCACGACCACCCGAATTTGTTCACTCAAAGCTATAACTCTAAATCTTTATTAGTAGTCCCTGATTTGCGTGACTATAAACATTTGTTGGATTTCCTTTTAAAAACCATGATTACATCGACATTGTACACCCATTTTCGTGTTACGGAAACATTTCTCGATATATATTTTTTACACTTTTCTCTAAATGTTGCTGCAATTTTTATAGAATACCCTCCATACTATAATATTTAGTCACTCCCGTATAACAACCTACCCATACAACGATAATTTACGATAAATGTTATTGTACAACTATTAAAGAGAGTAATACAAAGTTTAACAAGCGGTAATACCGTTATTCGACGAATTTTTTACAAAATAAATGAAAAATGTGATTTGTTATTTTTGCATATATAGAACTCAAATTTGTTCAAATTAAGTATTACGCAGAGTTTTGATGAACTATTGCCAACTCAAATCCGTTCGCGATCCTAGAATTAAAAAAAGAAAATGTGTAAAAATTCTTTAAACTTTACGGAGCATCAAATGAAATAAAAGTGTATGTATTGGATTAATTTTTTACATCAAATAACTAAAATATATTTTATGGTGCTTGTAGAATTAAAGGTATTATGTTGTTTGGTGCGCATCCCATTTAAGTATTCACTTTGAATCAATGTATACCTATACCTATGTATCCACATGATCCGTGGATGTAGAATCACACACTGTTTTCGGGTTGAAAGGCAAAGTTTCTTTATTTAAGTGGAAATTAACCAGAGAAAACGGTAATATTTTGAAAAATATTTTAGTTGTTGTTACTTGATCCGATATATATAATATATCTAAGTTATCGCCCGGTACGATCGAATGGCAGATGTGTTGTAAATAAATTTTAAGGGTGAGGCGTTTTGTACAAACCTTCAAATATCAGACTGCAATTGATTGTTGGCTACCTTTTTTACGGCATCAAGTACATATTAATTTAATTTATTATATTATATATTAATTTATCATGTAGGGTTTAAGTGTAGTGGGTTTGAGCTTAATGGGGAATGTTTTTAGCATTATTATTTACTTAAAACAAATATCGCATTTCACAAAAAGTAAATGTTTTTAATTTCAGTTAGAAATAGCCCGCGTTCAAAAAAATGTGTTAGATGCAGTTTCTGAAAATGCCGCCAAAAATCCTGAAGCCATTAAAGCTGCTAACGAACTTAACAAGAGCTTATTTGATATTACACAACTATATGAAAATTATGCAGATCGGTTCAGTTTATGGGAGTGTAAGCTGACCATTTTAAACTGTTCTCACCACAATGACCCTTTACTTATTGAATCCGTGTGGAGTCATATAATCGAGAATGTTATAAATAGTGCCAACTCAGTACAAGAAAAAGCAACATGTTTGTTTGCTAAAATTGAAGCACTTTTTAAAGAGTTTGGGGAGTCTGGACACTGTTTCCCCCTTGCTTTCATAATACGTGAATTAGAATTAAAGGCATGTCAGCTTAAGCTCCCTGAGGGTATAGTGCCTGAGAAATTGGCAGCACTTAATATTGATCTTGAACTTCTAATGGAATACTACTCAAGGTAAGAATGTTTATAATTGTTTTAAATTGTTTAATTTTGTAAATTCCAACATATTATTTATACGTATCTTGATAATAAATAAATGATCATGGCTTAAAATGTAAATTATACTTGAAATCGGGTTGTACCCTTATCCGGGGTTATGACCCATATCGTGACCTGCAAAAACGATTTAAGGTATCTTGAAAATTAAAGAAGAAATCCAATTCGCTCTACTATTTTGCACCCTTTATATTCGGTATTTCACTGATTGCAGTCCCAATGTTCTTGTTGCGGAGCAGTGTAACAAGAAAGTAAAGAAAAAATAAAACACAAGAAATTTAGTATTTTTAAATTAAAAAATTGCCACGCAAAATGACAGATATTACTTGTTAGAATTTGCCATCGCTAACTAAAAATACAAATAAATGAAAGATGTAACGTCAATTTTTTTGAGCATTCTTTATTCAGTTTATTTATTTATTTATTTTTTTTTTCAAAAAACATGTGATGGTCGATGAACCATCTAGGCAATAGAAGACTGCCTTCTACAAGCTGTAGACCATGGGTCTCGATTTAGACCGATCATCTCGGGCAACCTCACAGTAGGCAAGGACCGGATACCACCCAACCAAAGATAGTATGTTGAGCCCAGGGGACTCAAATGGGTTTGAGATTTAATAACCTTCGGGTACACATCGGGACCAAGAATTAGACGATGTGAGCGGACTTGTAGAATTCGCGATCTGCTAGTTGCATCCCAGCATAGTTGTCCTTTATTAGGTCTGGAGCAGATTGCGCAGATGTGTCCACATGTCTCAAGGGCATGCTAAGTGCGGATACACGGAGCAGCTTCGTCTGGTCGTGACAGGATTGTAAAGTCAGTTGGCAGAATAAATCCTGGCCAACGTTTAAGGAGCTAAGCTGGAGTTAACTAGTCAGCGTGGAGCGAACGTGGAGCACAAGGATCCAATAGCGCTCGAACTGGTACTTTTCGGTCCGGAAGAACAATTTTTACCACCATTGTCGAGGTCGTATGGGAACAGCGGCCAAAAATACTTTCAGTGCAGATATCAATATGAATCTTTGGTTATGGTACCTTGATGGAATAAAAATAAAAAATGTGACAAAATGGATATGGTCGAGGCATGTTTTGGCATGGTCCCCTTACAACGTACCTCCCGAATAAGGGTTATTTGTCCACTTTTCGTCACATTTCTACACTAGATTGTTCTGTTATTTGACATTTTACGTTCTAAAGACCTAAAAAATAGTCTTACTGAATTATTTGGAACGGCCCGCCTTCAGGTAGAGTCCCTCTGTAAAGGTACCTCCAAAAATAGAAGTATTTTTAAACAAATCAATTCCAAATTTGATGATTTTTTTGTAAACAAAAGAGACAATGTTTTTGTAAACAAAATAAACAATTCAATATAAATTAAATCAAAGTTACTAATGGATATATATAAATTTCAGTGTTATTCAAGTAAATCAAATGCAGATTTTAATAATATATGTTATTGCTTGGTAACGTTCACTGTCCCGTTATAAAGGGTCAGAGCTCAGAAGAAGACGGTTAATAAGATCTGTGTTTGTTGAAACACGAGAATTTTTTCGGGTATGATTTAGTCGAAACTTTTTTATATCTTTGTTGCCAGACTTCGCGGCCTCCCTATAATTCTCCAATCGATACAATGACATATTTTATAATGTCGGGAACATGTATTAAAATTTTATGAACTGTGGGTGTAAGATAGTGTCATGGGTATATATTTGTTAACTCTTTAGCAGTTTCCAGTGTAAAGTAATTAAATTTTTCGACATTAATATGGCATCCGGAAGTCAATCCTTGTAACAATATTGAACACCTCTCATTTACATCTTACATGTCATTAGCACCATAGAATTGACAAAATTGCAGCGAAGTCACTTCAGTATATTGGGCATAACATACAAATGTGACAAAATCTGAAAGTTAAATTAGCACTTCAAGAATCTTAGGACCATTACTAATGGCGTGAAAGAAATCACATTGGAGGATTCAGGGGGGAAAAGAATTAAAACTTTAACTGAAATCCAATTTTATTTTCAAAATTAATCTTAAAGGCAACTCAGAACACTCACATCGTCTATGTTATACCCAACTACTAAACACAGAAATTACTGCACTAAAAATAAGTCAATACCTTGCTTTTCAATAATTATGCTAAGAATTTCCATTTTAAAATGCATTTAATTTTGTAAAACAGATCTATTTTTACTCCACTTTTTCACTGATCCCACTGAAAAAAGCAACTAACTACATTTCCTCTTTTTTGATGCTATTCTCGAAGTGGGCCGTTAGAATGAAGCCAAGATTACTATGTTTTCTAAAAAGCTTAACCTCTTAATAGTTCATGTGTACACATTTGATAATAAATATCTGATTTTCATTTTTTGAATTTTGGCCAATGGCAGCGACCACTGTGCATTGTAGGTACCAGAGTCACAATGGGCTGTATGGGCCGATCTATCGGACGGACGGCGCCCGAAGGGGCGGACGATATCGGATGACAGCGAACGGACGGACGTTTAGTCTTCCTTTTAGCGGACGAAATTGAATTGGACGAGGGCGACGAATTAAATGCACGAGACGTATAGTCTCTACTACCCGAAGGGCGGACATTTCGATTGAGTATTTGGTTGGAATGGAGAAGTGTGTGGTGGTTATTGACACACTTCTTTCATCGTCGAAGACTGAAGCAATCTCTAAGAATGTGGGAACGGGTCAGACAATTTGAACAAAACTTATTTTGTACCACAAATCAAATTTTTTTCTCACAAGGAAGCTTATGAAAATCTGGATAATCCTTCAAGAAATGCCTCTGCATGCACATTGAGCAATTCGGACCCTGTGGACGATTAGATCCTGCCACTGGTCGATCACCACAAGGAATTGTTGCCTTACTATTTGTTGTTTTTTCATCATTGGCGTGTGCAAGCTCCCGATGGGGAGACGCCGAAGGAATAGTCCAAGTTGAGGCAGAACGCACCTGTACAATCTCCCGATGAGGAGAAGCAACCAGGTTGTTGTCAGCCAATGGGCTGGTTCGGTCGGCTTGAAGACCCGGAGCAGAGTCCTGATTAGCAGCTTCGGTGATTTTTCTTATGTCAGAATCTTGTGATCCTAATGAAGCCACATTGCTATCTTCAAACTCTCTTTCTTCATCTGACATAGGGATGTTGTCATCCACAATTGGGGAGAAGGGCCATCGTGCCCAAGTTTTCCATATCTGCGAAAAATTGGAGATGGCTTGGTAAAGAGAGAATAACTATCTATTCTTGGTCGGTCAGAATGACTAGCTTAACTACGGGTCGTTTTACTATACCGTTTTCCATTTTCACATCAGAGACTCTAACATGACCGACGATTCCCGGATAGACTTTTGCGACGCGATCCAGTTTCCACGAAGTGGGAGGTCGTGTCGAAGAACTACTAAATCATCCGTTTGAATATCACGTTGTGGAAATTTCCACTTGTAGCGATGGTGGAGGCTCTTTAAATATTCGTCTTTCCAACGATGGCAGAATTGTTGAGAGAGCGCTTTCAATTTTCGATACCGGCTCATGATATCTAAAGGAGAATCGTTTATGATGGGCTCTGGGGGAGCAAGGATTGGAGACCCGACAAGAAAATGTCTAGGCGTAAGCGCCACCGTATCATCAAGACTATCATTCATAGTACAGAGAGGACGAGAATTTAAACAAGCTTCTATTTTTGTTAGTATTGTTGAAAACTCTTCAAAGGTAAATTAAAGATTTTTTTAGTCATTTTTCGGAAATGAGTTTTGAAGCTTTTGACTACAGCTTCCCAGAGTCCACTCATATGTGGAGCTCCGCAGGGTTAAACTTCCTGGAAAGCTCCTGGTATTGAAACTTAAAACGGAGTTTTTTACGGATGTCATTTAATACCAGTTTAAATTCTCATTCTAACTCTCGAGATGCACCAATGAAATTTATACCATTATCCGAGAATATAGTCTTGGGACATCCACGGCGTGAAATATACCTGTAAAAGGCTGCTAAAATGTTTCCGTGGATAAATCGGAAGATGGTTCTAAATGAATTGCTTTCGTAGAAAAGCACACAAAAACGCAAACATAACCTTTTGTAATTTTGCAATATCTACCTTTAAAGGATTTGATATCAAATGGTACGGCGAAATCGATACCTTTAGTAGAGAAAGTTCTGGACAAAATAGTTCTCTCTGTAGGAAGAGATATCATGATTTATGTACATGTACGTTTTTTGCTAAAATGCTTAGTTTACAATGTCTTATTGTTTTTCTAATCAACGAAGTGGCACGAGGAATCCAATATTCTAGACGAAGAATGCCAAGCATTAATTGGTTTTCCCCGTGCATTGACTCTATGTGAATCTGTTCCAACAAAAGTTTTGCGAATCTATTATGGTATAGTAACAAAATTGGCTGACGTTGGAATTGAGTGGCTTTTTATGTAGTAACGCATAGTAAAAAATGATTTTTGAGCTTAAGCAGCCAGACGGAATTTGACTGCTTGGATTTCAGAATTAGAGGGGGTGGAACCTTCAAACTTGTATTTGACTCAATGAGCAGAATGTGTATTATAGAAAAACCTTAGAATGAATGCAATGGCGCCGAACGCGGTATCTATGGAAGAAAATCGATTTAAGATATCTTCATAGTTTAGACTTTTAACTGGGCGAAGTTCTACAACAGTATCAAGCGAAACGTTTTGAATATTCCAATTTGAACTATCAAGACTCAGTTATTGTGGCCCATGCCACCAAATTTGTGATGAAGTCAACTCCGAAGGAGAAAGCTCCCGACTGCCTAAGTCTGCCGGATTGTCCTCAGACCGAACGTGGAACCACGAATACGACAGACCCTATTAGCTACGAAGGTATACCATGTTGATGGCGTTTTTTGAAGCACAATTGTTGAATGTGTCCAGCAATAAGTTTTGTTAAAAGAAATATCCATCTATTTTAGAATGTCTTTT